ATTGCATGTTTGTTCAAGCAACATAACCACCTCTTTTCATGACCTTGGTAGCAAATCTAAGATGAGTTAAATGTTGCTACTAAGTTTTGTTTTTATTTTTTTGTATATAGAGACTAAAATCTAATTTAATTTTTAATTTTTTGATCTTTTCTTAGTGATATGAACTTGAATTGCCTCGGTTAAAATGTTGAGAAATTAGATTATTAAATTCAGAAGAGAATAACTGATTATAAACCAATTTTACCAATTATCTTTCTCAATTTTAGATAATTTAAAACAACAGCTTTGCTATTAAAACATGTCACGTTGAATAAACTCAAACAACATGTCATATTGAAAAAGCTTAGAAAGGCAATGGTAAAAAAGCTTAGGCGTAGAAACCTCCTGCCAATCAATAAAAGGCAAAAACATCTTATCAAAAAAATGGAATATATGGTTAAACTTGAGGAAAAATGATATTTATGCAATTCTCGATAAAAGTAAGGTAATTCTATTACTTTCAATCTACTTGCTTTCTTTATAAATTATTTTATAAATGTCTTAAGGTTTTTATAAATATTTATAAAGTAAATCTTTTATTTTTAAACTGAAGTAGTGGAATAGTTTCTTAAATTTATTTAGTATTTTTTTTTGTTGAGGTTTACCACGGTGACACATCTGTAACTTTCTTTTTGCAGAGATGTTGATGGAAGGCCGGTTCAGGATGTTGCTCCCGTGACACAGCCAATGTCACAGGCAGCGGGGCAGGTTCGAAGTGAAAGCAGAAGATGGAAACGAGATATTTGCATTGTCTAGTCCCTCAACTTTAGTATAGTATTAAGTTTAGTTCATTATTTATTTTTCTTTTTAGATCAGTTTTGATCCTCGGGTTTGGTCTTATTCTGTTCCAGTCCCAAGTTAAGAGCAGGCGAATTGGCCTAGTGCATTAGGTGGCTAAGGAGCTATGTTGAAGACTTACCTCTTTGTTTCTAATCTTCGGTCAGTAGAAGATCAAGAAATTGCAATAAAAACCTATCAATGATAAAGCAATGGTCCAAGATGATATCATAATACTAGTCAAGCTTTATTTAATTTTTTTAATACATTAATGGGTTAACTACTTCACATGACAGAAAACCTTGGTCTAATGATAAAGCAAAAACCTTAAAATTTGGTGGTTTTAGGTTTTTAGTCCAACTGGTTTTGTTTGGTTTATAATTTACAATGGTTCTTTTTGGAGAGTTTTATTCATCATTTATGTAGATCTGAAAAATCAAAGATTCAGAAATATGGAAATATAATATAAGCAATAGATATGATACACAACAACAGAAAACCTGAAACAACAGAACTGTAGTATCTCACATATCTGGATTGGCTTCCTCTGGAATTACTGTCAAAATGGCCGTTTCATCATTTGCTCCTTTCACAACCACCTTTATTGCTTTTCCAATTCTGTCACTCATTATCTCGATGATCTGCCACCGATTCAGTGGTTAAAACCTCAGCAAGAACAGTTTAGGTAGATTTCCCAATAAGAATGCATTCTGATAGAATAATTTTATTTCTACGTTTTTAGTCTTTTTTGATTCTGCAGCACAATTTTTGTAAATTTAAACTATGCAACCAGGTCATGGAGGCAAAAGGTCTTCCAAGCAAAATCTGCAAGCTAAAACCTCTCCCCCAGTAAAACCATGAAACAGAGAAAGAAAAATGGTTGAATACCTCCTTGTTGAATAAAATTATTAAGTCTTTAGTTATTCGTTTTTATTGTCCTGTTCTTTACTTATTTATTTGGTACCTGTTTTTGTGTTTCTTAGTTATTAGCGGTAGTGCCTTATTTGTATTTTAATCTCTTGAATAGGATTTGCAAAAGCATATTTCTCTTTCAATTGATTTGTGTTTCCTACTGTATTTCAATTTCTTTTACTTGCTCAATTTGATTATGTCCAGCAGGTATTTGATTTAAATCCTCGAAAGGGTGTTTAGTTTGTAACTTTGTTCAACTCTGTTCAACTCTGTTTTTCACACGGGATACCCACCTCCGCCTCCCGCCGCGTACCCATATCATGATCCGCCACAAGATGCGTACCCACCACCACCGCCGCCACCACACCGGTACGGTGGGTATCCACCTCCTCCTGCACAGGGTTACGGGTATACCGGGCACCCGCCTCATGGTGGGTATGGGTACATGCCGGGCCAACAGCCAGCTAAGAAACATGGGAATAGAGCCGGCTTAGGACTAGGGCTGGCGGGCGGATTGTTGGGCGGGTTGCCGATCGGCAATATGGTATCTGATGCTTCTTATGATGGATGGGCTAGACTGTTGGTTTGATTTCTAAAAAGTTTTTTTTTTTTTTTGTGTGGCATTTTTAACTTTTTACTTGGACTTGTTATAATAAATAAATGTATCATTTTATAGTATTTTGTTTATCATCTATTCTTTTAGAATTGAAATCTATCAAAATTATCCAATTTTGATATTGGATGGTTTTCAATATTAAAAGTGTGTAGATGAATAATTTGTTAAATTATTGATAAAATATACTTATTTAATTGTATAATTAAAGCTCAAAACCTCATCCTTGCTTTTCTTTTCCTTGAGAATATATCCATTTCTAATTAAATAGAGACAAACTTCTTGCTATTAAAAACGGTCTCCCGTCAAATGGCCCCAAGTTCCAATACAAAGAAATTGGTGAAATATCACTATTATTCCATCACTAATGATCTATTGGTTCAAGTTGAAAGAGTTCAATTTTTCCCGTTGAAACAGGTATAAGTCAACTAAATAGTATTCCCATAGCAATTGGGGTCATGGATTTTAAATTTATCAGGCGTAGTATAGGATTCATAGCGAGGGAGAAAATCATCCGATTGAAGTAAGGTCTCGAGTTTGAGTCTTTTAAATGGAGAAATTGGTGTTGGAGAGTTTTTTCCTTAATAGATCCAATGCGGCTTGATTTTGAATTAATTGAAACCCAACATGATTAGCGGATATCAGGAGATTAATATAAAAAAAAAAAATCAATATTATTCCATCGCTGAGCTAATCTGGAGTAGAGGCGTGGGAGTGGTGCTGCGGCAGGTTTAGCTAAAGATAGGAGCAGGAAGTAGAAATCCAGATCCAACGTTCGGAACACATCTTAATAAAGATAATTCACGATTTTTTGTTTCATATGCTTAAAAATTAAAATAACTATTACCATCCAAAAAAAGAAATTAAAATAACCATATGAATGTCTCTCATGCGCCTCCTCCCCACAATGGTTTAGCATCCGGTGAGTCCAGTGGGACTGTTTTTGGAAACCAGAATGTCGGCCGGATCAGGATGTTGCTCCGGTGACGCAGCCACGGGGTACTTTGCAGTGCAGGTTCGAAATGAAGGTAGAAGATGGAAATGACATATTTGCATTGGCTAGTCCGTCAACTTTAGTAGAGTCTTAAGTTTAGTACATTATTCATTTTTCTTTTTAGTATCAATTTTGATCCTTGGATTCGGTCTTATTCCGTTCCAGTCCCAAGTCATGGCAGGCGAATTGACCTAGTGCATTAGGCGGATAAGGAGTTATGTTGAAGACTTACCTCTCTTTGTTCCTAATCTTCGGTCAGTAGAAGATCAAGAAATTGCAATCAAAACCTTTCCAACATTGATAAAGCAATGGTCCAAGATAATATCATAATACTAATAAAGCCTTACCTTTTTTTTTTTTTTTAATACATTAGATTAAAGGGTTAACTGTTTGATATGATACAAAACCTTAACCTAACGATAAAGCAAAGGCTTTCAAATTTTGCAGTGTTGGGGTTTTAGTCCAACTGGGTTTGTTTGGTTTATAATTTACAATGGTTCTTGTTGGAGATTTTTATTCATCTTTTATGAAGATCTGAAAAATCAAAGATTCAGAAACATGGAAATTTAATATAAGCAATAAATATGATACACATCAACAGAAAACCTGAAACAACAGAACTGTAGTATCTCACATATCTGGATTGGCTTCCTCTGGAATTACTGTCAAACTGGCCGTTTCATCATTTGCTCTTTTCACAACCACCTTTATTGCTTTTCCAATTCTGTCACTCATTATCTCAATGATCTGCAACAGATTCAGTGGTAAAAACCTCAGCAAGAACAGTTCATGTAGATTTCCCAGTACGAATGCATTCTGATAGGATATTTTATGTCTACGTTTTTAGTCTATTTTGCTTCTGTAGCACAATTTTTGTAAATTTAAACTATGCAACCAGGTCATGGAGGCAAAGGGTCTTCCAAGCAAAGTCTGCAAGCTAAAACCTCTCCCCCACTAAAACCATGAAACAGAAAGAAAGAAAATGGTTGAATACCTCCTTGACAGATTCACTGGCTTTCCGTCAAATTCAATGACAACATCACCAGGATGGAATCCAGCACGATCAGCAGGAGATCCAGGAGTCACCTGGACTTTATTTGGAGCAAGTTAGTATGAAGAGTGACAGGACACAAAGACTCCTGTAAATATTTAAATGGTCGGGAACAAGATCATTAGCACCATATAGGCATATACAGAAAGTCAGAACACAACAAAATGGGAAGAAAGCATACCATAGCTACGAGGACACCTTTTTTGACGTTAGGAAATGTGACATCTCTCTCTTTAACTTGAGCAATGATCATGTCATTAAGATCGAGCGTTTTAAATCCAAGCCAAGGCCAAACAGCTCTCCTGTACAACATGGCCTTCTGTGGTTTGACGTCTCATTTTATGGATGATCTGATAGTAAATAAAAAACTTCGAATACATGTAAATTTTTCAATATTAGTAATTTTACATCTCAATATGCTAGTTGATTTAAGACCTTGAAGTTTCACCATCACTGTTGAACAACCCACCATCACAACATAATTTTCAAATATGTTCTTAAAGGTAATAAATTTTCAAAAGGTTCATCAAAATAGTTATCTTCCTTCAATAAGGTAAATGCACCAATTTTTTCTTCTAATGAGTGTGAAGAAGAAATAGATGAAACCTTGGGGGAGATGTGATTAGCTATTTCTTCCTCCTTCCAACTTATTTGAAAAAATATAGTCCTATGCAATATTAAAATTCAAAAAATAAATCCAGAATATGCCTAAACAAATACAAGAAACTAGATCAGGATTGCTTTTTATTAAATAAGAACAAATTAACAACTAAAAAGTAAACTTGATGTTCTTGTCTTTGTGCTTCTAATGGTGATGAGAGTATATCAAACACTAGGTTTTGATTTTTAGTAGGCATTCTTGCTTCCTATTATTAAAATATATTTATATATATATTTTTTTAATAGTGCTGCGACTTATTATGTGCCACCTAATTTGATTTTTTAATATGAGTGCTACTAAAGAGAAGGGTCAAAGAGCTTGAGATGAAGAAGGAAAAAGGGAGAGTGGAGAAGAGGAAAAGTTGATAAAAGAGCTTGAGATGAAGAAGGAAAAAGGGAGAGTGGAGAAGAGGAAAAGTTGATAAAAGAGCTTGAGATGAAGAAGGAAAAAGGGAGAGTAGAGAAGAGGAAAAGTTGATAGAAAGTGAGACTAGTAGGAGGTTAGAGTTTGAGTATTTTATTCATTTTTACTTTTAACATTAGGAAATTAGAAATTTAAAATTAATTTTTGAGTAATCTTATAAAAAATGAATAAACAAAGTCTAGGTCATTTTCGAGTGATCAAACCCACTTTTAACCTAATTCATTTGGATTCAAATAATTTCAATCTACGTTATTTCAGATTTCGAATTAAAATATAGAACCCATGATCCGATCCATAACAAATGGGTTGGGTTAGATTTTTGGATTGGGTTTAATTTTACCAGGTCTAACTTTGATCTATAAATTTTTTTGTTGAAAATAACCTAAAAACCTAGAAAATGCATGTCAAAA